GTCAAAAGAGAAACTGAGAAACAGGAATTGACAGACTCCTCTGAATGTATAAGAACATTCACAGAGTCACTGCCCAACGTAAAATGCACTCAGGCACAGACACAAAGAAGTAAGGTGCAGACACAGTGACCATGAAGTCGCACAGATTTCCATTTGTGACAAAGACATCTGTTAACCATAAGCTAGCTCAGAGTTTATCCTATACAAAGAATCTAACTTTAGGTAATTTCCCTTGCTTCTTGAGAGGTAATTCTAAAGCTTTAGAGGACAAAGCAGTCAGAATTTTTCGTCTTCTCCCTCTGCATCAGGTGGCTTCTCCTTCAGCAAATGCATATTCTCCACAGCCCCCAGCTCCCAGCAGATGGGCCTACCATGGTTCCAGATTCTGTTAAACCCAACACCTGGGCTCCATAACACAATCTCCTCTCTGTCCTTCTAGCCTAGAGGTAGGAGTGACTTCCTCATGTTGCTAATTATTGGGTTCCCAAACTCTCCCCTGTTCGGCTTCTCCCTCAGTTGTGTAATCAATTCTCTGCATTAAGTTTTCTTTGTGTTAAATAATTACAATTGTTTCCGTTTTTCTGAATGATCTTTGACTCTTACATGTGGCCAATTATATTGCTTTTTTTAGGGTTAAACTTCTTTGCAGTCATGGGATTAATCCAACTCTGTCATCAGCAGTTAAGTATGTTTGAGTCTCTTCTATAATCAATAACAAAAATAGAATACTCCTGGACCCTGACCTTCCTCCAAATAATATTCTATCTCTTTCATGCTCTTCACAGTCTACTAAAAAATAATTTTTTACACTCCCTAGCTATTGTGTATACCGTAATACAGTAATATACTCAACTTGTAAAAAATTCAAACTGTGCACATAAATGTACATCAATTCAAACAATGCACATAAAGCCCAAGTGGTATGCAGAGGAAAATGTATAGTCTTAAATAGATATATTAGAACACAAGAAATATTTTAAACATCCAAGCAATTCAAAAAAGCTAGAGAATGAATAGCAAATTAAACCTAAAGAAGTAGAAGGTCAGAAGTAATGGAGTTAAATGCAGAAATAATAAAATAGAAAACAGTAGAGTCATCTAACAAAAGCCAGTTATCTGAAAAGTCTTAAAACCATTTTTGTAAACATTATCAATTAATAAGGAAAAAAGCATGAAGATACACTAACAGCATCACTTATGCAAAAACAACAAAAAAACACACCTGAACAAAAACTTAATCTCATCAAGCTTCTATTTCTAACTACCAATTTAAAGAAATGCAGGCAGTTGAAGAACATGTTAAAGGACACCAAAGTGTTGTAAACAGCAAAATCCAGAAAAACAGAAGACCTTTTGTTTTTCAACGATGCCGACAGCAACAAAAAATTGCAAGAAAAAAAGGGGTGAAGTGGGGGAACCTATAGATTAAAAAAGACTTAAGGGACGTAACGATCAAAATGCATAAGGCATATTTGGGCACCTATTCTAACCAAAAAGTCCATAGTTCGAATCCACCAGGCGCTCCCTGGAAACTCTATCAGGCACCTCTACTCTGTCCTACAGGGTCACTGTACGACAATGAGTTTGGTTTGTTTTTCTGGGATTCAAAGATATTAAATTTTTTTTTCACGCATAAGGCTGCATGATAAATGTGAAAAATAACTGGACATTGAATATTAACGACTCATTTAACTTTTAGGGATGATAATTTGATTGTGTTTATGTTTAATAACGACATATTGCACCAGGCAAATGTGCTGCAAAAGCTCTCTCTAAAGCATTAAAAAGTAAGATGTCACTTTGAGGACTAAGGTGTGCCTGACCCCAAGCCATGGGATTTTCAATCACCTCATATGCATGTGAAAGCTGGACAATGAATAAAGAAGATCGAAGACTAACTGATGCCTTTTAATTCTGGTGTTGCCGAAGAATATCGAATGTACCATGGCTTGCCAGAAGAACAAACAAATCTGTCTTTGAAGAAGTACAGCCGGAATGCTCCTTAGAAGCAAAGACAGCAAGACTTCGTCTCACATACTCTGGACATGTTATCAGGAGGGACCAGTCCCTGGAGAAGGACACTATGCTTGGTAAAGTAGAGGATCAGCGAAAAAGAGGAAGACTCTCTACAAGATGAACTGACACAGTGGCTGCAACAATGGGCTCAAACACAGCAATGATTGTGAGGATGGCACAGGATCGGGCAATATTTCATTCTGTTGTACATAGGGTTGCTATGAGTTGGAACTGACCCCACAGCACCTAACAACAACATTTAATAAAGAGTTGTTTTCTTTTAGAATTGCATATCAAAATTACTTAGAGATGACATGGTATGATGTCTTGTATTTGCTTCATATTTTTCCAGTGGCAGAGAAGGATGGTAGGTGGGGGCAGAGCTGGAAAAAGATTTGCCATGCACTGATTACACTCCCTAGTGTAAGTGAGCATCAGATATATTGGGTTCATTGTATTATTCTCTCTACTGTTTTACTTAGAAGGTTTTATTATAAATATTATGACGTTAAATTGGAAATCATAATTGAAATGGACCACTCTTCTTTAAAAAAAAATAAATGACCAAATTGGTTCATGGAGAAGTATAAAACTTTCATCGAATAATGCAAACGAAAACTATCCAAAGCTCGTCACCCTAAAATGTTCCATGACAAGGCAGTTTTAGAGACCAGTTGTTCCAAATGGTCAGGGAAAGCTCTTTCCCATCCTTTGTAAACTCTTCAAAGCATACAAAAAGAAGGGACAGTATTCAACTCATTTTCCCAGGCTAGCTCTCCTTGATTCAAAAACCAGTTGAGGTCAACCCACGGGTGAGCCAGGCTCACTCGCATAGCAGCAAATATCCTAAATAAATTCACAGCATATTCAACACAGCAGTGAATTAAATGAACAAACAGGCTGTAACTAAGAAATGAAAATATGACTTAACCTTAGAAAATACTTTTAATTGTAATTCCCTATATAACAAATTAGAGGAGAAAACACATTTGATAATGTTAACGGGTACAGAAAAAGCATTTGAAAGAAATTCAACGTAAGTTCACGGTACAAACTTTTAGCAAACTTAGAGGGGAAATTCCATTTCCTAAAATCTACTACAAACATACTTAAATGCAAAATTAAAGTCACGGACAAGACAGAGATGTACGCTATCACCTCTACTGTTCAAAACTGCACTGGAACACAAAGCCAGAGCCATGGATATCAAAATAAATAAGAGATATGGATATTTAAAATAAACTTGTTGGCAATATGATCATTTATGGAGAAAATTCTAAGGAATAGACACATGGAATATTCAAATAAAAGAGACTTTAGAAACAGAGTAGATGGAAACTCACTATAGCAAATCAAAAGCCTTGCCACACAAAAACAGTAACTAATTAGAACATCTAACAGAAAATACCCAATTCACAACAGCAACAAAATCCAAAAATTACCTAAGAAGAAGGCTTAGAAATGTACAACATCTTTATGGAGGCAACTATAAAATTTTACTGATCAATTCAGGTAAAATAAGTCCAAAATAAATAGAGCAGAATACCATATTCATTGATTGGAAACAGAATATTGTAAAGATGACAATTCTCCTTAAGTTACAGATTTAGTGCCTTACTTGTAGCTGTCAAGATGACAATCAAGCTCAAGATGCTGTCTTCTGCTCCCAAAATCAAGTCTGGAAAACAATAGAAGGGAGAATGAAAAATATACATATATGTTAACAACAAGATTTAAACAACAAAATGTTTAGAAACCCCTGGAGTAGAGTGGGTGTTGAACTAGTATTGTGTTTGGGGTGGGAGGTGGAGTAAAGTTGGGGAACATCTAATAACCTGCAACAAATGACAGAGATGACAGGATAGGTAAGATGAAAGTTTTTAAGCTTCTGCCCCTGCTTCGCTGCAGAAATTCGAGGAAGTACCTCAGACCACAGATGCCAGTAGCCATGGGGAAAAAGCAGGACAGTAGGAAAAATGGGGTTGATTGAGGCAGTATGATCTCAGGGTACATGCTAATAAACACCTGAAACCATTTTAGTGGATAAAAATTGTCTTAAATATATGTGTATATATAAATATATATATATATACGTACTTACATATATACACACACGTATATACAATTTTAATAGAATATAAACACTGGACTAGAAAAACAACAGCAAGTGTAACAGTGAATCACATATAGTAAAGATATTCATTCATGAAACCATAAATACATATGTTTTCATATATTACACACATATGTTGTGCATACATACACATTCTACAGACATACTTGGAAGAAATGTAAAATATATTTCATACTACAAATGAGGATTGACAAAAAGAAAATCCATGCAATGTTAAGTAACTTCAAAAGTGCAGAACCTCCCAAAATCACATTGCTCAGCTTCTGGGCAGACAATCTTTTAGAAAAAAAGTTTTCCCAAATCCAAGTCTGGCTGGAGAATAGACCCCATGGGAAGGAGCTATTCTTCTCCGACAGCCCACCACCTGTCATGGGCACTGCAGCTCCCCTATCTAGCATCTAGTCTGGGACCCAAAACCTTTCTCTGCAAGGGATGCAGTTGGGCAAATACTTGGATCTGGCAGAGAGGGCACATATCCCAGGAAGCATTAAATCAAGGACCCGGAAGGCAAGATAACCCTCAATTGGCTGACGACTGAGGGGCCCACCTACCCCAAGTAAGAAGAGACCCAATTGAACTCCACTCTGCCCCTGAAGTCAGTACCAGAAGACCTCAGGCAAGACTGTCAGGCTAAGAACACCACTCCCCCCACCTCATCTCCAACTCGGGGTGATGAGCGGCTCAGGTCCACAGAGGGAGGGTAGTCAAGCAGTGCCAAGAATCAAGGCGAAGATCCAGAGGGATCACTGAGCATGCTTCTGAACACATAAGAAACCGGACATAAGAAACCGGTTCTAGCCTCGCCCTGCCCTTGCTGTCAGCCCTGGGAAACCCCAGGCAATATCCCCGGATGTGGTGTTTCCAGACTTCCGCCTCGGAGTCTGAGGCGACACGGCTTCGTCTGAAGCGGCTGGACTCAGGTCAGCAACAAGAGGAGTCCCATGCCTTGCCAGGGGGCAAGGTGAGGGCCCTTAGGCAGGCCAGGGAGGGCCTCCCACCCGAGACAGAGGGGGGTACCCACAGAAACCTTCCGCTGCTGTCAGCACTGGAAGGTCACGGGCAGGTTCGTGAGGTGGAGTCGCCTCCATCAGGACTCTCAAAAGAGATGGCGGTTGGCCTGAGGAGCACATTCTCAGGAGTAAATATGATTACTTTGAGGAAGACTGAAAGTATCCTCCCACCCCCAGAACACAGGGCCCCCACAGAAACCCACCCTGCCCCTATCGGCCCTCATAGATTTTGTGCAGATGCGTGAGGCTAAAGCTCCGCCTCGCTTCCGCCTCGGTGGTCTCACTGAGGCAAAGGTCATAGTCTGAGGGGTGTGGCCTCAAGTCTGCAGAGGAAAGAGCCCGATGCCCTAACGGGAGTCAAAGGGAGGATGCTAAAGGTAGTCTGAGGGGTCCTCCTATCCCTGATAGAGGGGACTCCAGCCCCATCCTGCCCCTGCTGTCAGCCCTGGGAGGCCCCAGTCAGGGTTCCCGGATATGACGTTTCCTCACTTCCGCCTTGGGAATCTGAGGGAGGTGCAGCTTTGTCTGCCGTGCGTTTCCTGACGGAAAAGTCCCAGACCCTGCAAGAAAGCAAGGTGAGGCTGCTGAGGCCAGTCTGAGGGGTCCACCTACCAGATACGGGGGACCCCAGCCACATCCTGCCCCTGCTGTCATCCCTGGGAGGCCCCAGGCAGGTTCCCCGAATGTGGTGTTTCCGCACGTCTTGGGAATCTGAGAGGGGTGCAGCTTCACCTGAGGGAACCTGAGTTTGGTGGGAGAGGAGTCCCAGGTCCTGCCAGGCGTCAAGGCGAGGACCGTGAGGAAGGACTGAAGGGACCTCCTGCTCCAGAGGAGGTCCCACAGAAAAAACCCACCCTTAAGTCTCAGCTGTGGGGGATCCTGGGCGGGGCTCTCAAGCACAGGCACCACCCTTACTTTCTGTCTGAGGAATCAGGGAGATGGAGGTCTTAGCCTGAGGGACACATCCTCAGGTCATCTGAAGGCAAGCTGTGCAGGGCATCTCAGGAACAAATATGAATACTTTGAGGACTGAGGGTAACTTCCACCCCAGGCAAAGAGAACCTAACAGAAACCTGTCCTGTCCGTTGTCAGCCCTGGGAGACTCTGGGCAGGTTTGTCCAAGGCCCCCCTCAACTTCCATGGGTGGGCACAGAAGTGTCTCAGGGAGGTGAGGACCTCTGTCTGAGGGCCCCAGACTCAGGTTAGCAGAGGGAGGAATCCCATACTCTGCTGGGCATCAACATGAGGGATGACTGAGGGTACCCACTACTCCAGAACACACGAGGCCCAGCCCCTGCTCTCAGCCTTGTAGGATCCTAGGCCAGGGTAACTATGTCTCCTCACTTTTGTCTCATTGGTCTCAGGAGGTGAACACTTTGGTCTGACAGCGAGTTCAAGTCAGCAGAGAGCCACATCAGGCCAGCCCAGCAAGGAGGAGCATCACGCTTTGCCAGGAATTAAGGTAAGAACCCTAAGTGAGGACTGAGGGGACCCCCCCATCCTAGAAGAGATGGGATCTCAGCTCCACTGTACCCACTGTCTGCACCACATGAAACCGTGTCACTTTACCCTTCAGGTTATTAGGGGACAGACTGACCAGGAGGACAGGAGACCTGTGAGGCCCTAGAGCATCACCTAAAGAGAACATTATAAGTCACCCTTTGTCAGAGCTGCCAAGGTTGGGTTTCTCAGCTGAGGCCACTCACTCTCTCCTTCTCTCCCTTAGACCACCTTCTTGCTCACACTCCTGCCTGCTGCACTCACAAAAGTCATCATGCCTCGTGGTCAGAAGAGACAGCACTCCAAGTCTGAGCATCACCTCCGTTCCCAAAATAAGAAACAGGGCCTGGTGGGTACAAATGTTCCCGCAGTTGGAGGGAGGAAGGCCACCTCCTCCTCCTCCTCCTGTCTGATTCCAGGCACCTCTAAGGTGCCTCATTCTAGAGCCTGCTCCTCTGCAGCCACTTCATTGAGCAAACGAGGTAAGTGCTCCAAACGAGGTAAGGGCTCCAGACGAGAAGATGAGGAGGTTCCAAGCACCTCATATATCTCACCAGAAACCGAGGCCTTGCTCAGTGATGCACTAGATAAGAAGGTGGTTGATTTGGTGCAGTTCCTGTGTGTCAAGTATCTAACAAAGAAGCCCATCACAAAGGCAGAAATGCTGAAGATGGCCATCAAAGAGTACAAGGACCACTTCCCTGTTATCTTCAAGAAAGCCTGCGACAGCATGGAAGTGGTCTTTGGCATCGACGTGAAGGAAGTGGACCCCACTGGCCACACCTATGTCCTCACCAAAACGCTAGACCTCACCTATGATGGGATACTAAGTGATGGCCAGGGCGTGCCCAAGACCGGCCTCCTGATACTTATACTGGGCGTGATCTTTATAGAAGGCAACCGTGCCCCTGAGGAGAAGATATGGGAAGTGCTGAATATGATTGGGGTATATTCTGGAAGCAAAGATTTTCTCTATGGGGAGCCCAGGAAGCTCATCACCAAAGATTTGGTGGAGGAAAGGTACCTGGAGTACCAGCAGGTGCCCAACAGTAATCCTGCCCGCTTTGAATTCCTGTGGGGTCCAAGAGCCTATGCAGAAACCAGCAAGATGAAAGTTCTGAAGTTTTTTGCCAAGGTCAACGGGACTGATGCCAGTGCTTTTCCAACCTGGTATGAGGAGGCTTTGAGAGATGAGGAAGAGAGAGCCGGAGCCAGAATTGCTGCCACAAATAATACCAATGCCACGGCCAGTTAAAATTCCAGTGCTGCCTCCATCAGCTTCTCCCACCCCAAGTGAAGAATGAAGCACATTTGTCATGTTCTATATGGGTGACTTGGAGATTTGTCTTTTCTTTTTCTTCTTATTTTTCAAACGTTGTTCCTGTTAATAGCAGAGTTAATTAGCTCAGAATGTAAGTTTATGAATGACACTAGTCACACATTTATTGCTGTTGTTTTGGCTTAAGAGTAAGAGTTATGCTACTTTGCAAAAACAAATTCGGAGATCTTCCATCTTTTTTTGTTATCTGAAACAAGATAACATGGCACTGGAATAGGAATTTCCTTGCAAATGTGAAAGAGCCCAGCAGTAAAATAGATGAGCTTGAGAAATAGAGGGGAAAAAAATGTAAAAGATGATTAAATTTTGTATTTCCTTATCACTCTTGTCATTCTATAAAATTAAAAGATAAATGTGGATTTGAATAAATGTAGGAGAAATTAAATCTTAATAAATGAAAGAACCTGCTCACAGGCTCATTTATTTCCCAAACATGAACTGAGCATCTGCTCTGCGGAAGGCACAGTATTAGTGGGGGGATCCTAGAATAAGCAAGATGCACTCCCACAATAGAATGGTAGAGTGGTAGATTCATATTAACAAGCTGGTGAGAGATCCTCTTAAGTCCTAAAGACCAAGTGAAAAAAGGCGGCTTGGTGGGGGAACCCTCAGGATGGGAGCAGTCAAGTGTAAATACCCGGAGCCAGGCAGTTTGGGGCTCTGGGAAACTACAACTCCTTCTGTAGGAGGTGTCTTACAGTTGAGAGAAAAGCCTAGAATGCAAAATTGGTCTTAGCAGTTAACTTCTGCATTGTGGATAAACCAGGAAGAAAACACCACCTGACGCAGGTATGAACAGTGTTCTATGCTCTCGTCCCAGTGCAGCTCAACACAGTGCATGTGCTAGGTACTTTATACGCATCATCTGCAAGGATTTCCTAAGAAATAACACAGACAGTCCCTTAAGTGATGCCTGGAAGTCACTAGCCCGGCACCCTTTTCCCTGGCCTGGGAGAGTCAGAGCCCACTCCTTTATTTTATGCTTTAGGTGGAAGTTTACAGCTCAAGTTAATTTCTCATACAAAAATTTATACACAAATTGTTATTATGACCCTAGTTGCCAATTCATACAACGTGACACCACACTCCACCTTTCCACCCTGAGTTTCCCGTGTCCATCCAACCACCTCATGTCCCTTCCTGCTTTCTCATCCTGCCTCTGGACAGGAGCCGCCCATTTAGTCTCGTGTATCTGCCTGAACTAAAAGCACACTCTTGACGAGTATCATTTTATGTTTTATAGTCCAGTCTAATCTTTGCCTGAGGAGTGGGCTTTGGGAATGGTTTTAGTTCTGGGCTAACAGAGTCTGAGGGCCATGGCTTCAAGGGTTCATCCAGTCAGAGCCCACTCCTTTAAAAAGACATTTTAATTAGGCCATCTTGGGGCTAAGATTTGGGATCTGGGTGACCTGAGTGCAAATAGTGTTTGGGATAGAAGAATAACTGGGAGGGAGGGAAGGTGCTCACCCTTGATTCAAATTCTAGGTCTGAGTTACAGTCAGCTGACGAAGACTTCCCCACATCCAAGTTAAATAAGCTATCATCTAAGAGAAAGTTTTCAATCTAAGGGAAAGTTTTCAGAGTTTTATTTATGAAGCAGCATTTTTGCTAATTTAGTGTGCCGCATTCTAGAGTGCTGCATGTTTTCTGAGATGTCCCGGATAACAACAAAAAATAAATTCCCAGAGGAAAGGGCGGGAGGATCTGTGGTCAAAATAATATTTGAAACCACTGCTCTTCATTATAAAGATCCACTATATGCCAAGCGCTTTACATTACATTATATACATTCCACCAGTCCCACAAGACAGGGCTTGCCAAGCCCACTTCACAGATGAAGAACCGAAGGCTCACGACCCTTGGCAGTTTGCCCAATATCAGATGACTAGTAAGTGACAGGGCTGGGACTAGTCTCCTGGCCGAATTCATCTAGAGCCCATGCTGTTCCCACTCCTAGCCTGAGGCAGACCTTCTGTCTCTTCATTTATCTTCTCACTACCCCATAATGTCTCTCAGGCAACAAGGTATTAAAAACAGACCTGAAGTAGGTTTCCAAAGAGCGGCAGGTAGATTCGAACTGCTGACCTTTTAGTTAGCCAAGCTCTTAACCACTGTGCCACCAGGGCTCCAAAGAAGGAAGGTGATGATGAGAACAATACATACCTTGGGGATTGTCTGTGGACCTTATTTACCTAGGATCCTCTTGCCCAGACCCCCAGGGTTCCTTGAGAGCTGACTCTGCCCAGGGACCAGTAATTTTGTCCAGTCCCCACACTCCCCCTGGTCTTCCCCAGTGTGCCCTCCTATCTCACTCTGGAACCTGGCCTGCTGACCAGCTCTTCACTGCCTCCTACTCTGAAGGCTGTGCTCTGCTCCCAGTATAATGGCCCAGAATCACCTGCCCTCCCCTGACATTGAGCATTCCTACTCCCGGCAGAAGTCACCTGAATCCCCATCCCTCACCCTGGAATCCCTGTGATAGCAACAGCCCCTTTGACATCAAAGTTCACTTTGGATAGTGAGGTTTAAACTCCTGGTCATCCCCCCTGGGCATCTTCAACATACTCTCAACGTGTTTTCCAAATGGGCTGGTGAAAAGAGTGTGATTTGGCCCATAATCTACTGTTTCTTTGCATATAACCCTGAAGTTAGAAAGAGGGTTTTTTTTAAACAACCCTGATATTTACAGTAGGATTTTAATAGGGTGTCTTATTTGAAACCGGCTGCTGAACCCATACACAGAGGAATGAGCTTACCTACCCAAAAAAAAAAAAAAAAAACCAAACCCACTGCCATCAAGTCGATTCCGACTCATAGCGACCCTACAGAACAGAGCACAACTACCCCACATAATTTCCAAGGAGCACCTGGTGGATTTGAACTGCCAACCTTTTGGTTAGCAGCCATAGCACTTAACCACTACACCACCATGAGCTTACCTAGGTGGTCAAAAATCAAAACCTCCCTCATCGGTGAGAGTCCCTTGGTGATGCAAAGGTTTAACATGCTTGGCTGCTAACTTAAAGGTTGGAGGTTCAAGCCTACCCACAGGTACCTCAGAAGAAAGGCCTGGCAATCTACTTCCAGAAGATCAGCCATTGAAAACCCTATGGAGCACAGTTCTACTCTGACACACATGGGGTCGCCATGAGTCAGAGTCAACTTGACAGCAACTGGTCCTGGTACCCTCATTAAGTGGTAAATGAGGAAAGACCACAGGAAGCACTACGGAAACAAACATCTATGGAGGTTGAATTTCTAAAAACCCTGCAGTCCTCCTAGGAGGTGAGCAACAGTTCCTTGGTGGACGTGCTAGCTCTGATTAAAAAAGAAAAAAACCATTAACCACCTTTCTACTACTTTTGGTCATGTACCTACCTGCCCCACAGAAAAATCCTGGTTTGCGGTGTGCCAAAAAGGCACTGGTGCAGGTGTTTTCAGGCATGTTCAGCCACATGAAGGGTAGCAGAGACTCACAAGTTAAGATTTTGAGCATGCATCAAAAGGAAGGAGAAAACTGAGATTATAGAAGCTGTTGCAAAAAGGCAGTAGACAAAAGTGCTACTGAGTTAAAAAAAGGTGAACCCTTTTTGCTAACATTTACAGGATGCTTTGAAAATTAAATGTGATCCTATGTCTGGAAGCACCTGTCACGTAGTAGGCACTTGAAAAAGTTAAGAGAATTTCAAGGCTTGGCCTTTTCAGAAACTCTCCCCAAGAAATGAAGAGGGTTAAGGTCACCACAAATGATAACAGTTGCTTTTCATTGAGCACCTATGTTAACAGTGTATGGGAAAGACTACAGTGATCACCGACATCTTGTCTTCCTCTCCTTCTTGAGCACAGGGGAAGACTACATTGCCAGTCCACTTGTACTTACGAAGGAGCCGGTATGCCATTTCTATGCTTTCCCTTCCATTTAGCAACAAACATGGTAACCCCGTGTTAAGACCCCAGTGCCCGTACAACATGGAAGCACACTAGGTCCCCTGGGTCACCTTACAGGCAAGAGCTTGGCCAACCCACATCAGAATTTATGGGTACAAAAGAAAGTAAATGTTTGTTGTGGTAAGTCATTCAAATTTCAGGTTTTGTCTGTTATACACTGTTACCATTTCTGTTGTTAGGCTTATTTAACTATTTTAATCACAAAGGTAATACTGCACATATACTTATTCTAAAACTACAGGTGAATTACAATTCTCCCCTTCATAAAATTCCTCCAAATTTCAGCCTCCTCCTCAAAGGTAATCACAATTAACAACCTGGTGTTATTATTTTAAAGCTGATTCTAGGAATTTTCATAGATATACTATAAAATGTATTTTTTTAATATGCACAGGTAATGATGTACATATTCATCTGCCACTCACCTTTGCCACTTAATAAAATGGATGCAGGATCCCGTGGTGTCACCAGGGAGGTACCGGCAGTGCAGACCGCACCAGGTGACACTGTCAGAGGGGGTGAAGCCAAAACGACTGTCTAGAAAATTTTTGTGCAGTGTTTCAGCAGAAATTTATTAATTTTTATTTATAAATCCCTGTAGTTAGTTACAAGAACAAACACATTTTTGATAAGCCCAGCTTACATGTATCAATATACCTACAAGGCTAAAATTCTATGTTAATCTACTTTTTGAACCTTCTAATGAGCTCCAGTCAGAGCTGTTGTTATTACCCAATTACAATGATTTGAATCACGTGATTTTGTCTGCACGCAGTTGGTTTTGTTGCTGCTAGTGTTTTTAGAGTCACTGATTTTGTCAAATTTTCCCATGTTTTAGCTACAATATTATGGTAATTAGTATTTGTGAACCTATTTATCAATAACTTTTTTGAGAATTAAGTAGTAAAGGAGAAAAATCAAAAAGGGCTTCCGCTCAGTTACTAATAATGTTGTAACTAATAACGTTG